AACCAAGAACACCGTTGGAAAGGCATTTTTCCGTAGATGAGCAGAGTTTTTATGGTTTCACAATTGGTTGAAAATTACGTCGTTTTAACATTTTCGAATTGTGTATAGATGTTGCTGCAACATGTTCAATTTGACATGTTTCGCCTGTTGTTTCACTACAGATTTGAAATTAAGCTTTGAAATAAAGATAAATATGAAGATGAAGAAATAAATGATAACGATGAAGTAAAAAAAAAAGAAGGCAAAAGTGAAGATAAAGACGAAAATGGAGACAATGACAGATACATAAGAATTAGGGTAACTGAAAGGGTAAGAACATTTCTTGAATTTATGAAGTGAAACTTCTTTAGCGCCAGTTGGTTGGTTGGGAGTAAATTGTCAAAAGGGGAATAATGCACATGGAAATGGTTCTCAGCGGTTTAGCGGTTTGAGAATAAAAACAAAAACAAAGATGCCTAGAGGTACAGGCAAAACCGAACATCAAAGTAAATTAAAACACTTTAAGGTAAAGATGAAGAGGAATATGCAAAAATGAAGATATATATGTGATCTGGTCTACGAAAAGGGAGCTTACGTGCGAAAACTAGTTTTCTGTGAAAAAGCTGTTAAAAGTAAGCAACTCGTTTCGTCAGTTTCTCATTATCTCGTTAATTGTTCTCCGCGCCGGACGTCCAGTAAGTGTTGTTGTTGGTCCAGTAAGTGTTGTTGTTGGTCGGAATATTATTATAGTTTTATTATTATTATTATTAATATTATTATTATTATTATTATTTTTAGTACACTTCTAAGCAAGTTAGGATTTTCTGCTTTTCACCACGTGAAAAAGCATCTCATCTTCCATCCGAATCAACCGAAAAGTGAAAATTGATTTTTTGACACCTAAGCCCCCTTTCCGTAGACCAGGTCACATATAAAGAAAAGGATGAGGATGAAGATCGATATTGTTATCGATATAAAACTATAATATAATAAAAAATAATCGATATTGTTATCGATACTGTTATTGATTAAATAACCGCTATTGTAATCGATATAATAATCAATTATAATATCGATACAATAATGGATATTGTTATCGGTATAATAATCGATTAAACAATTGATTTTGTTATCGATTTAGTCATTTATATGTTAATGATAGGTACAATAATCACTACTAATGATTGTTATATTTATCGAAGAATTAATCGATTTTACAATCGTTGTATTTTTCTATATGTTTATGGATGTTGTTATCGGTATTTTTCTCGACACAGTTATCAACATCATGATCATTGATCATGATATTACATCACATAATATGATATCACATCACGCGATATTACGTGACATGACATTATATGATATGACATCACATTATATGGCACGACATCACATGACTTGACATCACATGATATGACATCGTATGACATGACATGGCATTACATGACTTTGCATCACATGATATGACATCATATGGTATGACATCATATGACATGACATCACAGGATATGACAACACATGACATGACATCCTATCACATCACATAAAATCATGTCACATCTTATCACGTAATCGCACCTCATCTCATCTACGTGAAAAGGAAAAGAAAAGGACATAAGCAAAGATGTGAAAGATAAAAACAAAGATGAAGACCAAAGTAAAGTTACCGATTTCAAAACCAAAAACAGCGTTGGAAAGGTAATTTTCTGTAGATGAGGAGAGTTTTTATAGTTTGGAATTTGTTTGAAAATCGTCGTTTAAAAATTTCCATATTTGTGTATGGTTGTTTTTGCAACCTGTTTAATTTAAGCTGTTTCGCATTTTTTTTTACTTCGTATTTGAAATTAAACTTTGAAATAAAGATAAATATGAATATGAAGAAACAAGTGATAACGATGAAGACAAAAAAAGGAAAAAGTGAAGATAAAGACGAAAATTGAGATAAAGGCGAAAATGGAGATAATGAGAAATACATAAGAATTAGGTTAATAGAGTTGAAATTTTCCGATAGGAATCGAAATAAAATCAGCCATAAAGGTTACTGAAATTTATCGAATTATCGAAGTCCATGCTTATTAAGTTATCGGAACGTATCGAATTATTCAAACTGATCAATTTAGTTGTCGAAATTTATAGACACAGAAACTTAGTTGCCCAAATTTACGGATAGTTATCGAGCTATAAAAACGTGTGGGATTAACAAAATTTGTCAAGTTAAAGAAATATATCAAGTTATCGATATTTATTGAATTATCATTATTTATAGACTTAACGAAATATATCGAGGTGTCGTAATGCATGGAGTTCTTTCAACTTACAGAGTTATCGATAATTATTGATCTACTGAAATTGGTTGGTTCAAAGAAGCGAAGTTTATGGAACTTTCAAAATATATCGATTTATCGAAATTTCAAGGTTATATAAGCTTATCGATTTATCACTGCTTATCGAATTTAATCGTCTTAACAGAGTGTAACGAGTTATCAAAATGTTTAGATAGTTTTCGAAAAATGTGGAGATGTCAAAAGTAAAAATTTATAAAGGTATCCAAAGTTTTTACATTTTTGAGTTACCGAAATTTATCGAGCCATCGAATTTCACAGTTATCTAAATTGGTCGAGTTAACGAATTTTGTTGAGTTATCGAATTTTAGTGTTCTTGACATGCATTGAACTATCGATATGTATCAAATCATTGAAATTTATCGATAAACTTGAATGTATCGGGTCAATTCCAAGTCCTGCCGAAGTCCTCCAAAGACCTTCTCAGATAAAAAAAGTTTAGTTACGTTTTAGCAGAAGATTTTCCGGTTAGCTAATTTGTACCGTATAAGTTTTGCTACGTGTTAAGTTAGAGAACCTGTCCAAGGCTTATAAAACTAGAAACACTGTCGAATTTCGACAGTAACTGGCACCCTAGTTATTATTATTTTATATGAATTTTACTTCTTTACTACTGAAACATGTATATGTTTAAATTCGTTGGGAATTTTGTGGGATAAATTTTCAACATGTGGGTAATTGAGGGATTTTTTCCCCATTTTCGTGGGATTTTTAACAGAGAATGTCTGGCATCACTGCTCTGGATGTGCAGAAAGGATATATTTTTTTGACAGGGTTGCCACCTGCGTTTAAAATTTTGATATTTACACCGTTCTCCCGATTTTCAAAAATGAGGTGTCAAATGAAAGGGCTTGGCCTCTGGATGGGCAGAAAGGATATATTTTTTTGACAGGGTTGCCACCTGCGTTTAAAATTGTGATATTTACACCGTTCTCCCGATTTTCTAAAATGAGGTGTTAAATGAAAGGGCTTGCCCTCTAGATGTGTAGCAAGGATATATTTTTTCACAGGGTTGCCACCTGCGTTTAAAATTATGGTATTTACACCGTTCTTCCGATTTTCAAAAATGACGTGTAAAATGAAAGGGCTTGACCTCTAGATGTGTAGGAAGGATATATTTTTTTACAGGGTTGCCACCTGCGTTTAAAATTATGGTATTTACACCGTTTTCCCGATTTTCAAAAATGACGTGTCAAATGAACCTATACGTGCATATGTATGTATGTATGACTATACTTTGGTGCGTTTATTCATATCTACCTACATATTTGCAATATTTATACATATGTACATTGTACAACTATGTATGCATGTGAAAAAAGTTTGTGGATGGTGTTATTATTTTCTTCCATACATGTTAGGTAGAAGTCATTTTCGCTGTTATTCAAACGCGAAATTTTTCTACCCAACATATGCGAAAGCTGTTTGTTTAAAAATATTTCTACACACTTGCAATAATTGTGAGGGCTATTCTCATCTGTAGGCAGAACCGCAAATATTGCTGTTGAGTGATGTTTTTCTATAAAGATTTGTGAGAAATACTAACGACCATAATTTCTTGAGAATGCATTCCATTATTGTTAGTGGTATGCACATTATAACGATTCTTTATAGAATTTATATAGACCAGTGCTAGAATCGTAACAGTCTTGAACGAGCAACTCGTCACATAAAAATGTATATTTCGAATTATGACAGTCGTGGACGTACTACTCGTTTCGTATCCGAACTACAAACGTACTGGCCTTCACGACTGTAAAAATCCGTAATATACCTTTTACGTAATTATTACTCGCGTATACATATTAGGTGTAAAAAATTGTCGCTGCCTAAGATTATTTTTTCAATGTAACATACGCGAAGGCCGTTTATTTCAAAATACTAAATACTACTTCTAATAATTTTGAGGGGTGTGCTCAAAACGATATCTGCAGGTAGAACCGCAACTATTGTTTTTGAATGACATTTTTCCTTAAAGATTTCAGGGAAATACTAACGATCATCATTTAACGAAAATGCTTTCATTTTTGTTACAGGTCAGCACATTTCAGCAAGTCTATAGATTTGTCTAATATATATAGAGTAGGTAGGTGGAAGTAAAAAACAGAGGCTTATTAATTATTACTCCCGTATATAAGGCACATACAATATATGTGCTGCATCAGACAGGCGCAGAAGAGTGGTGTAGTAAGCGGTTTTTTGTAAAAGAAGATTATAATATTAAAAAAATAACTGGATAAAAATGGGAAAAAGGAAATTTAATGTAGAAAGATATGTGAAGTATGAAGAAAGCACTAAGAAAAGCAAATGCCTCATAGAAACTTGCAAACGTGAATTAAGTGGAAAGTCAGCAGCAAATATTAGACGGCATTACAAGCTTGTACACAAAACTGACATAATGGATAACAGTGATGGAGTGGGAGTGAAATTAGTAGTAAAATACAACGAAAAACTGTTACCAAATTAAAAGCTGGATTTTTAAGATGCTGCATGGGATTGATAACTAAAAAAAATATTCCTTTCAGAATATTTGATGACGAGGAGTATTTTAAAAAGCTTATAGAGCCATATGAGCAAAAATTTCAAACTAATTTAAATTCGAAGAATATAGTAACTATTCTGGATAAAGCAAGTAAACAAATCAAAGAAAAAATTGCTCAATTGGTAAAAAATATAATGGTTTCATTAAAAATCGATATTGCAACTCGAATGGAACGAAGTGTACTAGGCGTTAATTTACAATACATTAGGGATTACAAAATACATATAAATACCATAGGTAAGTAATGAAATTATGTTGTATATACATACTATATATGAACCCATTTATATGCTTTATATCTACTTAACTTTGCATTCGCTCATATATTTTTCAGGCATGATTGAAACTACGAAACGACACACCGCTGAAAATCTGAAAGAGGAAATATTAAAATGCCTTACTGAATACGGTATCAGCATAAACCAAATTTACTCTAGCACCACTGATAACGGTGCAAATGTTGTCAGAATGTCCAAATTGTTACAAGAAATGCAACAGGACAACTTTTCTAATGACGAGGACATTGAAACGGATTATGCTGAATCAAACAGTATCCAGTCGCAAATTGCTTCTGTTTTCTCTGTTGTTCGTTGTGCCGCACATGCAATACAGTTAGCAGCCTATGATGTTTTGAAAACAATAGAAGGGGACATTAAAGAATGCCGAAACATTGTAAAGAAATTACGGACATCGGTAAGATCGGGTAATGTCGAAATTAGTTTGCCATGCCTTGACAATGCAACTAGATGGAACTCGACCTATGATATGATAAACTCCATAATCAGTATAAGAGATTACATAGATAATCTGTCACATATTAACGTCAACTGGATATTTGTACAAAATTTCCTAGCTGCTTTTCGTCCAATAGCTAAATGCACTCTAAAACTGCAACACGAGCAATATATTATTGGAGACTTTTTTAGAGATTGGCTAACATGTGAATTGGAGCTTAAAAAGTTAGTGTCTACCAATTCATATGCGGAAGCTCTTCTAAATACAATGAAGAAAAGGAAAGATACACTTATGGGAAATAATGCATTCATTGCTGCACTTTATATGGATCCGCGCTTTAATTTCGACAACACCCCTCTTCTAAGCTATGATCAAAAGCAAGCTGCTGTGGTAATTATAAATATTTTGATTTTGATATATTTTTCTATATCTTAATTTGAATATTGCTTATTAATATTTTGATTTTGCTATTTTTCCTTTATTTGCAGGATCATTTAATTAGGACACGTGATATGATAAATAAAATTGGCAAGCCATCAGAAGACCAGTACGGCAACAGTTCTTCAGATCTTCCAACCCAGTCGCTTCCCCAAGATGAACTTCCCTCCACATCGAAAGGCATATAAGACATACTGACACTTCACGTAAACGCAATGAGAAATGCACAAGGTCCAACACCACAAAGAGGAGAAATGGCCTTTAAGGAAAGACTAGCTAAACTTTGCGATAGGGAAATGGAGCCATTTGATAGCAATATTTTGGACAACTTTCGAAAATTATATCGGAATGATGCCGATATGTTACAATTAATGGAAGTTGTACTAGCCATACCTGCAACACAAGTCTCTGTTGAAAGAGCGTTCAGTGCACTTTCAACAATATTAACTAAACTGCGAACAAAACTTTCAAAGAAATCGCTGTCAAATTTATTAATTACAAAACTAAACTTTGAGCTCCTAAAATTTTCAACACTAGATGTTGAAGATATCAACTAAGCAAAAATATTTGTTTTAATCAGCTTTTATTTACATACGTATGTATGGTCGTATACAAATTCAAGTGCAGAAATTAATAAATATACAGACTCATGTACATAAAATATGAATTATCTTTATGAGTTTTAATTTAAGTAATTTTATGTACATACATACATATTTAAATACATATTTACGAATACATAGATGAACGTGCGGAAATAAATATTTCTTTAATATAAAAATTTCAAACAATATTTAAAAAATAAAACCTTATTTTACACATAGAGGCCGAACCTTTTCATTTGACACCTCATTTTTGAAAATCGGGAGAACGGTGTAAATACCATAATTTTAAAAGCAGGTGGCAACCCTGTAAAAAAAATATATCCTTGCTACAAATTTAGAGGGCAAGCCCTTTCATTTAACACCTCATTTTTGAAAATCGGGAGAACGGTGTAAATATCACAATTTTAATCGCAGGTGGCAACCCTGTCAAAAAAATATATCCTTTCTGCACATCCAGAGGCCAAGCCCTTTCATTTGACACCTCATTTTTGAAAATCGGGAGAACGGTGTAAATATCACAATTTCAAACGCAGGTGGCAACCCTGTCAAAAAAATATATCCTTTCTGCACATCCAGAGGACAAGCCCTTTCATTTGACACCTCATTTTTGATAATCGGGAGAACGGTGTAAATATCATAATTTTAAACGAGGTGGCAACCCTATTAAAAAATATATCCTTTCTGCACATCCAGAGGTCAAGCCCTTTCATTTGACACCTCATTTTTGAAAATCGAATGAACGGTGCAAATCTTATGCAATTAACAAAATTGCCTTCGCACAGAATAGTATCTCTAGCCACACCAACTTTCCGCGAATATTTGCCGCAGCATTTTCATTCATTTATGAAGGAGAACGACAGCAGTGAACCTTCGCGAAGGCATCGCTGCCACTTATAGCTACATATATGGACGCACGCTGTTTGGTCCACCAATACATACGCGTACGAACAACAGCGGACATTTTTTCTACCTAACATTCGCGAACGCGAACTATCTGGACTGGTTTTATGCTTCACGTTCGCGAAGGAGAATCAATACAGAATATTTGATTCGTTCACCTTCGCGTATAAAATCATAAATGTATGTTCGCGAAGATTCATATATGAATATTTCAGAACCCTGCTTTCGACCTACCTTCCCACAACTCACCTTAACAGATCTACGTGATCCGCTGGCCCGGTCGGTTGGGTAGGTAATAAATAAAAATTGAATTTTGTCGGAATGAAAATGCAGAGGAGCAAATATACCGCATGCTGGGGGGAGGTTAGGCGAATGTAAGAGTGACTACACACATATTTATGTTCGTAGTGAGTAGTAAAATGATTGTGGGAGCAAGTGGGTGCACAAAGGATGAGTGTGAGTGCGGGTAATTGGCGAGAGCATTTAGCGTTGAAGCGCGCATGTTTACAGGATGGGTTAAAGGAAGCACGTGCTACACGCTTGTTTACTTGTTTGATTTTTTTGTTTGTTTAGTTTGTGGGCACACGTGGTCTTTGTGTTGACTGGCGATTTGTGAAACATAAATACACACAAACGTAATTTCGTTCGAAGGAAAAAAGGGTGGCCTGAAAGGATTAGGAAGAAAGCAAGTTCACACCGGATACGATTTAGAGTCAAGATACAAGTAACAAAGTAATTATTTGTAGCGAAAATTTCGAAAAACAGATAGAAAAAGCATATCGATATCGTCGATATTTATTTTCGTCGACAAATTATTGGTAATTAATTATTGGTTTCAGCTAATAAATTTTCATAATCTTTAACAAAAAATTATCGAAATCGTTATCGAATAACTACGTTGACTTTTCTCAAAAGCAAGTATAGACTACACTAATATTATAACCATAATCTGGTAACCAGTACAATTTTTGTAGCCGATGTTTCGTTATCCTTGTTATACAAGTATCGAAACTTTTATCGATATCACTACGTTGATATGTATATTACCTCCAATATGATAAATTAAATATTTATCGTAAAAATGCTGTTATAATATATTTTTTCAGAGTGCAGATAAATATGTATAAAAATCTCCGTTTAAATATAGATAAGTTTATATCGATAAATATTCTATAATAATATTATTTAAAATCCGAATGCAAACAACATCGCTTTTAAAATCGATAACCACTTGGTCGACAAATATGTATACAAGATTCCGCGATTAAATATCTATATCGCAAAAAGTATCAACCAATACATTGACAAATAAACTTATGCTTGTTCGGTAAATAATTATACATAAAAAATATTAGAAACACATCTCCTAACAACAAAAAACCGTAACGAATTGGGATAATGTCAGTACACATTAAAATTCACCAGTTATATAAATCAAAAAATTTCGATAAACATATCGAAAAACATAGCCAAATTATTTCTATAATGGTTATCGCTCAGAAACGAAAAACCGTTTATTAATTTTTGAAGTATCGTTATCGTATAATATAACTATAATGATAAATATTTTTTACATATATCAATAAAAATCAGACTACAAATAATAAGGATATTAATGATATTAAAATTATATCGAAGTTTTCATAAAGTGCTTAGTATCAAAAAATTATTATTTAAAGTTGTTCGGTATAGTTACCGATTTTTCGGTATAGTTATCAAAAAAGAAATGATATTGTTACTGATATCACAACATAGATAAGAAGCAGATAAATTTATCGATATGCACATTTCGATCAAAAGATACCGATAAATATTTTGGTACTAATATTCATTTGTTAAATTCGACACAACAACGAAAGAATTACCGATTTGTGTATTGAAATTTTTTCTCTAAAGCATTTAAAAAAATTTTTTTTTACTAAGTTCAATGCCTAACCTCTTTTGCTTCTATAACTTGATAACTTGCGAGTGTACACGACAAGCTTAACTGCACAACAATTCCACAAAGTAACACCCTTTATCCTTCACTTCGTACGCTTCATTAGTTGCTAATGCAACCAAAAAGCAAAACAATAACAACATCGACAGCATTTAAACCATAATAATTGTTGTAAAATTAACACTAACACTTTGGACATGTTCAACACTGCAACACTTACCACAAAAGTGGCAAATTTAGCGGTTGAATTATGACACTTTCCACCATGTTACACGGCCATTGCCATTTTACTAGCTGCAAATTTTATGAACAGTGCCGAAATTGGTAAATTTAAAATTTTTTAATTCCAAAAATATTTAAATGCACGCCCAAAAAAATTTAAATGCACGCTGCAAATAAATTTTCAAAACTAGACTTTTTATAGTGGAATACAAAATTTAATGGATGAAAGCAGACATTTTTTTCATTTGCATTTCTTTTAAAACAAAACTATGGCGCCAGTGCCTCAATATATTCATATAGTACATAGTATGTAAGTACGGCACTGTACGGAACTGCATGCATTTTATGACAATTTTAATGAAACTATAAAAATTTTGGTAAGCACTTTCTGCGTATAAATAAATTTTTACAATTACTCTAACACATTTACTCATGAAAGTAGCGACAATTCTTTGAACAGCACACAATTTCCTGTACCTACATAAATACAGCTCTATGCACATATGTACATACGTACATTGTCCATGCATCTGACCACAGCGGCCTTGTGTCTGTCTTGACCATTTGCATTTATTAAAATGCATTTGGAAATCGTTTGGGTGTTTCTTCTGCTATTTTTCTTTGCTTCCATTTTATGCAACTTTTGTGTCTTGATTGAGATTTTTACTTCATAGCAAAAGTACCTTGGCGTAACATACGCCATATATGTATATGTATAAAAGGATCAAAAGAAATTCAGAGTTGCCCTAGTTTGAGTAAAAAATGGTGTGTAAAGCCAGAGAGGAGATGTTCTTCTATTTCTTCCGCCTCCGAATGACAAATAGTTTTATAAGAAATTTTTTTAAGACAGAAGTACTCGTCAACCATTTTAAAGGGACTGCGGAAAATTTATTTTCTCCTTATAAGACCTTTTGTAATTGCTAGC